AGGAGCAGGAAAGCTGACGTTTTGGGTTTCTGAAGAAGGGTCTAGGCCCGAAACGTCAGCTTTCCTGCTCCTATGATGCTGCTTGGCCTGCTGTGTTCATCCAGCTCTACACCTTGTTATCTCACAATACTCAAGGTGTGGCTTCACCAAAGCCCTGTATAACTACAGCAAGACATCCTGACTCTGATACTCACATCCTCTCGCTATGAAGGCCAGCATGCCATTAGCTTTCCTCACTGCCTGTTGCACCTGCATGCCAACCTTCAGCGGCTCTTCCACCGGGACACCCAGGTCTCATTGCACCTCACCTTTTCCTAAACTGCCACCACTCATCACTTCTGATACCATGAGCTTTATTCTTGCTCACTAATCTCTTGTGTGGAACGTTGTCAAAAGCCTTTTGAAAGTCCAGATACACAACATCTACTGATTCACTCTTGTCCATTTTACTGGTCACATCCTCAAAAAATTCCAGAAGATTTGCCAAGCATGATTTCCCTTCAGTGAATCCATGCTGACTAGGACCGAATCTATCACCGCTTTCCAAATGCTCAGTTATTACATCCTTAATGACTGACTCCAGCATTTTCCCCTCCACCGATGTCAGGCTGACCAGCCTATAATTCCTTATTTACTCTTTCCCTCGTCTTTTAAAGAGTAGATTTACATTAACTACCCTCCAATGCATCGGAACTCTTTCAGAGTCTACAGAATACTGCAAAATGATCACCAATGTGTCAGCTATTTCTCGGGCTACTTCCTTAAGTACTCTGGCTTGCACAGCATTAGACCCTAGGGACTTATTGGGTTTTAATCCCATCAATTTCCCCAATACCACTTCCTGACTAATGAGTTCCTCCTTCAGGCTTGACCCTCTGTCCCCTAGCATTTCCTGAAGGTTATTTGTGTCCTCCTTAGTGAAGACAGATCCAAAGTATTTGTTCAGCTGGTCTGCCATCGTTTTGTTGTCCATTATGAATTCTAACTGCAAGGGACCTACATTTGTCTTCACCAGTCTTTTTCTCCTCACATATCTATAGAAGTTTTTGCAGTTCTTTTTTATGTTTTTCGTAAGCTTACTTTCATATTCTATTTTCCCTTTCCAAAATAAACCCTTTGTCCTCCTCTACGCAATTTTAAATTTCTTCTAGTCCTCAGGTTTGCTGCTTTTTCCAGCCAATTTATATACTTCCTCTTTGGCTTTAACACTGTTCCTGATTTCCCTTGTTAGCCATGGTCGAGCCACCTTCCCTGTTTTACTCTTACACCAGACAGGGATATACAATTGAAGTTCATCCATGTGTTCTTTAAATGTCTGCTATCGCCTATTCACCACCAAACCTTTCAGTATCCTTGACCAGCTGATCCTTGCCAAGCTTGCCTCATACCATCAAAGTGTAGAGGCAGCTTCACTCTGTATCTAACCCCATGCTGTCCCTGCCCTGAGTTTTGATGGGGATAGTGTCGAGGAATGTCACATCAGCCGTGATTATAATAATGGCAGAACAGGTTCGAGGGGCTGAACAGCCTACTGCTTTTCCTTTCTCTTATGGTCTTAGGTAGGTAGGTTCTTTACTACTGAGAGAGCCAAAGGTTATTGATGTTCGGTGAGAATGTGGAAATGGGGCCACAAACAGATCAGTCATGACTTCCTCCTGCTCCTCATCCAGACGTTTGTATAGGGATAGGTCAAGGGTCTCACAGAATGGCAGATTAGACTTGAAAGGAAATTTGTTCATCTGCTATTCTAAGTTTACGCATATCTCAGTCAGTTGGCATGACGAGGAAATTCATTAAAAAAAACACACTCTTTCAGCAAAGAGTTCTTTCTCTCAGTTTTGTAAATTTCTTATGAAGTGTGGGACCTTTAATACTGATTGGCTTAACATCAACTTCCAATATAAATCCTGTGTGTTCAAATGAAATTTTTAGGATGTTTACTGTACTTACAGGGTGCACTACAAAGTTTTCTGGAACTTTAAATCTTAATTACTAGGGTGTAAACACAATAGAAGCAAACTGTAAACATTATATGAAAACATCAAACATAAAATTGTAAACTATCTTCTAATTTTTGAGGTACATTGTTTAACTTGATTTTACAAGTGTTTGCCTTTTCTTTGATTGTTGCAATTTTTAATCAGTTTCAGCATCTTCAACAACCAGGATGTTAGGAAACTTCAAAGGGTTCAGGAAAGATTTACAAAGATGTTGCCAGGGTTGGAGAGTTTGAGCTTTAGGGAGAGGCTGAATAGGCTGGGGCTATTTTCCCTGGAGTGTCGGTGAGGGGTGATGTTATAGAGGTTTATGAAATCATGAGGGGCATAGACAGGGTGAATAGCCAAGGTCTATTCCCCAGGGTAGGAGAGTCCAAAACTAGTGGGCTTAGGTTTAAGGTGAGAGGGGAAACATTTAAAAGGGACCTGAGGGGCAACTTTTTCACACAGAGGGTGGTGTGTGTATGGAATGAGCTGCCAGAGGAAGTGGTGGAGGCTGGTACAATTACAACATTTAAAAGGCATCTGGATGAGTACATGAATAGGAAGGGTTTAGAGGGACATGGGCCAAATGCTGGCAAATGGGACTAGATTAATTTGGGATATCTGGTCAGCATGGATGAGTTGGACCAAAGGGCCTGTTTCCATGGTGTATGTCTCTATGACTCTAAGGTTATAAATGATGTTTTCATAAGCCACTGACAGTTTCCTTCAACCATGCATACTTGTGAAATGTTATTAAAGTTTACAGTTACAAAAGGACTGATTAAACACCCTATCCTTTGACAATCCTATGACTGTAGCCTTTATACAGATAATTG